GAGCAAAATCTTTGCTGTTATCTGAGTAATTATTTCTGATTTCATTTTTCCCAGATCCTCTTTTCTTGCCAGTTCAGAGAGTCCAGGTGGCTGAGTATCAGATTATTCCATCTCGTTTCCCTTTGGGGTTACTGTAGGTGATCCAGAAGTCTGTTTTTGAGGCTTGCTTACATGTCTTCTCATTTCTGCAGGGGTGGGGGGGTGCTTCTGGTACCCGTGCGGCTTGGGATGGCGGCAGGAGAGCTTCCTTCCGGGTGCGGGACCGGCTCACCTTCTCTGCCCTAGGAGCTTGGGATGGCGGCGGGGAGCTTCTTTTTGGGTGCTGGGACCAGCACAGCTTCTCTGCCCTAGGAGCCTGGGATGGTGGCGGGAGAGCTTCCTTCCAGGTGCTTGGACCAGCTCAGCTTCTCTCTGGAAATTGCTTGATATTTTCTGACTAAAGCATCTGATTAATATAGAAAATAAATGATGGTAAGTCAGAACCTAAATAGCTAACTAATACAGTGTTTAGATATTTGACTCTTATAATTCAGATGTTTTCCTACCTAAGAGTTTCAGATGCTGCACCTACTCCTTAAAAGTTTTTCCTAAATGGTACCACTAGGGATGAAGAAAATACTTACAAGTAACTCTATTGACTTAAATCACTTAGAATAACAGTATTAGAATCTCTTTACTGAATTACAGTTCATTGTTTTGGGGGAGGTGTGGAAGATTAGTGTATGTTTTATTTTTTCGTTGAAGGAGATACTTTTCTCTTTGTAAATAATATATGTTTACAATACATTATGTTTACATTCCTTGTATGGAGTTGGTACATGTACAAAATACAGCATTCCTTAATTTTAATAATTACAGAAATAGTTACACATTTTCTTCTTTCATTTATTGAGCTTTGACCTCCAGTACACAAAGTCTCTACCATCTAAAAGGATTGACCGTCGCGGGGGGTCGAGGGTTCTTAGACTGGGAAAATATACTCAATATGAAATTTAAACTGTATTGCTATATTAAATCTTGAAAATGGAAAATCTGAGGAATAGAATCCTCTTCATATTGTTCTTCATAGCACTTACTACATGAAAGCTCTATTTTACCTCTCCTTTTAATCAAATAATTTTCTTTATATATATAAGAAAGATAATGGAAGTTATAATACTACTTTCACTAAAATATCTTGCCTTAGGATTGTAAAAGCCTGTCAGTTAAATGGAATTCTATATTTTTGTTCAATTTTGCTATGCAACATACAAAATTTTAAAATTCGTATGTTACCAAATTGGCTACATGGATCACTCTATCATAGATCCTTATTTGTAGTGTTCATCAAATCTGAACATCTATTCTAAAGAAGAGAATTGAAAAAGAAAATAGTAGGGTTCTAAAGAGTTAGGAAGCTAAAGCTTATACTAGAATAAATGTGGAAATGTTTTGCAGTTAAGGTTTGACAGTGATAAGCTAAGGAGAAATAATAACTCCCATGTTAGCAATTGGTCCCTGAGTCTGAGAGCTGGCACAACAATCCTAGGTTTGGCACAAAGTTAGTTATAGAGCAAAGGCTGTAACGGTGATGCATTAGGAAAAAAAAAAAGACTTTGAAGCAATAATATTGATATAGGTTAAATAGGCAAACATTACTCGTGAACCTTGCAGTATCTACCAAAATTACAAGCACAGTTTTTCTTTGACCCAGCAATCCCTCTCTGTTGATCTGACCTACAATTACAAATATGTGAAATTACATGTTTGTTTATTTGAAGCAGTTTTGTTCATAATAGCAGAAAGATTAGATACAGTCTAGTGTATAGCAATAAAAGATTGGATCACAAAATTAGAAAGTCATTGAAAGGTAAGTCAAAGATGTACATGTCACTTGACATGTGCATTATTAGAAAATAATGTCAGAGTGTAGGAAAGCAAGAGAATGAGAAATTGTTGTCAAGGGATGGTACATGAGAAATAACCGAACATTATTGAGCTTTTCTATAAACTATCAGATGGTCTTTGTATCACCTCTTTGATTAGAATATATAAAAATGTATAAGGAGTTTTATAATTTGCCTTATTTTGATTCCTGATCCTATTTTATCATAAAAACTGAATGTGTTATTAAAGTCCTGAGGAACTTATTCCTCATGGTCAGCAAAAATTACTCTAATTGATTCTTCTTCTTTTTTTTTTTTTTTCCTTCGGCACCAGGGATCAAACTCAGGACCTTGCACTTGTGAGGGAGGCACAGTGCCACTGAGCTAAATCCTGGCCAAAATTATTTTAATTGATTCTTATAGTTTATTCATTTGTCTGTGAACAAGCTAAGGGTGGAGTGATTAGGGCAAAAGTTAGCACATTTCTTACAAAAATATTTTTCCACAGGAGAAAAACATTTTAAATGTTATTTAACATTTATACTCCACAACTTCTTACAACTATTTCAAGATGGTAGGAAGGGAAGGGATACTTGGAAACTGTTCTCTGTCGACATTGCCTAAGTGAACACAAGCTTGATGAACAAAAGCTCAGACCAAAGCTCCAACTGGAGATAAACAACAAGAACCTCGACTTATATTCATGAGGGTCAAATAAAATTTTATAATGGCTAAGGTTTAGGGAATAAAGCTTTGTGAATAATGACTGAATTTTTGTGTTATGAATTTTGATAAATTAGTAATTCTCACTGTGATAAAGAAATTAGCCGTGATCATTTTTTTCTGCCTGAGGATGTTTCCTTTAAGAAAAATTAAAATGCTAGGCATACAGACTTGATTTATTAATCTTTGCTTAGATATTGTTATATCATGCTTACTGACATGATGAATTCTATATGCATTAATATGTGTAATTGTATTATCCTTCGCTACAAAAATCACTACCATACTTTTGAGTATTTGAAAGCTAGAATACATTTTAAGTTATATTTCTCACCTAAACAATAATGTAAAGTAAATTTATAAATCATTGGGTTTTTTTCAGACTGCATTATGATAATTACTTGTATAATTATAGGTTTGCCAAGTGTCAAACTTTCACATGTAATTCTCAAAACAGTTCGTTGTGGTGGAAGTAGTAGTATTCCCATTTTCCAGATGAAAATAAAGTTCTAGAGAGTTGGTGACCTAAGATAGAAATGCAGCTCTAAGTCCTTCTCAGCCCAGTTGTCATCAACTCTTCATCCTACCCTAGCATTTCATATTTAATGTCTTAATATTACAGTTGGTTGACGTTAGGCATTTTATCTTCTCAGGATATGGCTTTAGTTGCTCCTGAAGCCCCTTCAGAACAAGCCAGGAGGGTTTTTCAAACCTATGATCCAGAAGGTAAAAAGATGTGTTAATTCTGTGTTTTATACCTTTATGTATTTGAAATATATTGACACTTAGCAGAGTTTTATTCAAAAGACTTATTGAATTACTAAATGAAGTGCAAATTGCATTTCTCAAACATTTTGAAAGAGAAATAATGAAAATGGGAACCAAAAAAATAGCACATTAAGTGCCTGTCACTGTGGTGTTTGTGTTTCTTGGGCTCCTGAAGGGATAATTGCTTTTCAAAGAACTTCAGAAAGTGGTATTGTTCCCTGTTTGGTACTGAATACCGGGGTTGAGAGTCAAATAAATGATTTTCTTCAGTTATTTATCTAAATGAATATTAAATAAACAGACCTTCTAGGTTATTTCTGTATGAGTGACTGTGCCAGGGTATGGGTGTGGAAGAAAATCATCTTTATCATTCCCTTTTGAACTTGTGCTTATTTGCTTTACCAAAGTATAGTTTTTAAAAATTCATTTTATAAGCAATACATGTGTATATGTGTGTGTATAGTCATATATATATATATATATCTCCACATATATATATATACATGTATATTTTAAATGTCTCATCACTATAATCTGAGTTGCTTTAGTCACCTTTCTGTTCATGTACTTAGGTAATAGTTATGCCTTAACTATCACAGCTAACTCACTGACTTCAAATATAACTTAAAAACTAACGCTGTGGGTTTCATTGTAGATCACCATCCAGAAGCCAGAGTTGTTGGATAGAGGAAATCCTGTGTGAACTTTTGAATTGATTTAGAATTTTTGTAGATACATTTTTTTCTCTCTTGAAATTTTTTGCTCTTTGAAATCTGTCTTTTCCTCTCTGGAAATTTGAATCCCGCAGATTCTAGGAATATATCATTCCTCACATCACGTATAAGCAGTATAATAGTTTAGTTACTTTTCGGTCCATAAATCTGTTTTCTTAGCTACCAAATGAAAATGGTTGCACCTATTTCTTAGATTCATTATAAAGATCAGATGAATAATGTTGTGGAAAACAGTTTTCCAGTGCCACTTTATAATGTGAGTAGGTCCTTTTCAATATGCAGTCTCATCTTTCTGAGTGAATTGTTGCTTGTACTGATGTGTTGACTCTTGAGTTACATTCTTTTCTTCTTTCATTATGCCTTTTCCTTCACTGAAGAAACATAAGTTTCTTTTTCCTCAGAAGTAATAACCTTTGAAACTTTTGGTAGTGTTTCTTTCTGATTGTTTAGATAAGGAAGTTATAGGGATTATTTACACACTCACATTTTCCCACCACTGAATGTTAGCCTTATAGCAAACCAACTTTTAACTAGAATCTTTGCTATGTGTAGCACATTCACTTACACCATTGAAAGCAACAACTTGTAATCATTCCTAAGCACCAAATCTAACAAAAGATGAGTTTAGGAACAGTAACAATTTAATATGAAAATAAAATTGATATAAAAAGTATACTACAAGGGCCGGGGATTTAGCTCAGTGGTGCAGTGGTGCCACCACCTGCCTCACAAGCGCAGGGTCCCGAGTTCAATGCCCAGTACCAAAAAAAAAATAGTATACTACAAGATTGAAAGAAATGCTGTAAATAAATTGAACATAAATTGGAGCAATATCTTGAAGACTTGAGGAGGGAAGGTCACATTGGTAAGTGGAAGCTAGAAGAAGAGAAAGTGTTACATCTGTGAATGTAGGTAGGAGATAGCAAGTTATATCCCAGAAAAGCCAATAAAGGTTTTAGCCTGAGTAGGAAGACAGTACAAGAAAAAGAATTCGATAGAATTTATTAAAGTGAAGTGTTCTTGAGGCAAGAGGTTATTGGAATAAGGAATGTAATGATAATAAAGGTTTTGATTTCTCTTTTAACAAACTACATTTCAGGAAATAAGTTGAGCAATTTTGTGTAGCATACTCTTAAAGATGTATTTAAGGCAAAAATTTTGTTTTCTGTCATTTCTAACGTTTTAAAACTTATTAGTGCATGTTTGCAGTACATAATTGCATCCATTGTGAGAAGTTGATAAATATACATAATGTGTATTAATTCTTTTTTTCCTCTGCTTCCCCTTCCCTCTCTCCCCCTTGCTCGGTTAGTTCCCTTCCCCTTTGCGGAACTTCTATCTCCTGGCTTCCTATTTACCCATCTTTTATTTTGCTGTTTAATTTATTCATGTTTTGGGTTTTCCATATAGAAGAAACCACAATCTTTAAACTTCTGTGCCTGATTTATTTCACTTCACATTATGATCTCAAGGTGCATCCATTTTCCTACAGATGACTGAAATTTATCCTTCTTTATGACAGAGTACTACTCCATTGTATATATAAATATCACATTTTCTTTATCCATTCATCTGTTGATGGACCTACAGGCCACTTCAAGATTTAGCTATTATGAATTGTGCTGCTGTAAACATGGGTATGCATGTATCACTGCAATATAATGTCCTTAACTGTTTCAAAAAGAAACCTAGAAGTGGAATAGCTGGGTCAAATGGAATTTCTAGTTTTAGTTTTTTGAGGAATGTCCATATTGATTTCTGTAGTGGTTGTACTAGTTTACATTCCCACCAACAATGTAGAAGTGTTCCTTTTTCCCCATTTCCTCACCTGTATTTGTTGTTTTTTAAATTCTGGATGATGGCCATTCTGGGATAAGATGAGATCTCAGTGTTGCTTAATGGCCAGAGATGTTGAACATGTTTTCATGTATTTATTGGCCATTTGTACTTAGTCGTCTGAGAAATACCTATTCATTTTAGTTGCCCAGTCTTTGAGTGTTCCTGATATGTCAAACTTCCTTTTAGAAGCTTTTACACACCTCACATTCCAATGTAGCGAACCACCTCACAGTCCTGCACATACACATAAATGCCTGCTCGGTTGCAGTACTTCTGTGGGGACATATTTCTACCCATACTGATAGCGAAGTGCCTTCAGAGCAGGAGTATTTGCAAAAAGAGGAGATCTGAACTTTAAAACATTTGCTGAAAGTCTGGATGAAAAAAATTCATCAATAATACAAAGATACCAAAACTTAAGAGTTTTTAAATTAGGAGATATTTACCATAGGTAGGTTTATATATTTGGTTTTTGCAAATTACTTGAATCATTCATGAGGTAGCAGGCTTGTACTATTCATTTATTTTTACCAATTAACCAAAGAAAATTAGAATTCTTATATTGCCAGTACTAAATCACAAATTTTAAACTGAGTTTTTCCAAATTGAGGCATGACAGATGCAATATGGAAATTTGCTGTGTTTCTACTACAGAAAGAAATTATTCATTGAGTAAAATGATTTTCATCTACAAAGTTGTATATGTCTCAGTTTAGCAGGACTATAAACTGAATTGTTAAGCAGAATTTGTTCAGCTACCTCACAATAGATATCTTTTCTGTATATGATTTACCATGAAGATATATTTTACTTTCTCATTTGACTGTCACTGCTAATAGTTTAGCTATTTATAGTCGACTGTAGGAAGCAGATGGATTAGAAGCCAAAATAATTTTTCATTTTTACTCTTTTCAGTCATTTACAGACTAATCTGCTCATCACTAATGTGATTTTTTCCCAAACATAGCATGCTTTTGTTTCAAGGTAAGAGCAAATCAAGTCTTCTCAGAACAGGTAATACACTAACAATCCTGAGAAGCTTCTGAGTGTTTCTAGTGTCCCTTCAGCAGAGGCTGGTATGGGGACTGTTGTCCTTTTTCACACTTCCTCTAGAGGTCAAGTTCTGGTACCCACAAGCCTTTGTGTCTTTATCTCATTCCTCCTGCCACCTCAGCTCCCACCACTGGCTGCTCCTCGTGGTTCTGACTTTGGGTGTTCACACATGCCTTAGGCATGTTATAAAAGAAATTATTGGACTTGTTCCAGCAGGCTAACCACCATATACAGCATTGATTCTTCTAGGAGACTACATCGTTCACATTCTAAACAAGTGCCTCAGTATTGATCTGTTGGGACATACGCCTAGTTTACAAGGAGGACCTGCATAAAAATAATAGCAGTGACTGATATTTGCATGGAACATTACTGTTTATAAAGTGTTTTTCCTCCATCAACTCATTAAACCTCACCGTAAATCTGGGAGATAGGAATTATCGTCGTTGTTTTGCCCTTAGGAAATGAGATAATTGGACCATATGTGGTTGTGAGAACCCAGAGTAGGATTCTGGTGTTCTGTAGGAGATCAAGTGCCCCTCTTTCCCCTCCACTACCAATGTCTTTCGTAAAGGCTCAAGGCATAAAGCAGCACCTTTTAATCTTTCTAAATTTGACGTTACTTTGAACTGTCATTCCTAATTTAATGGAATAAAGATTTGATATTGACTCATTTACTTGAGTAATTACAGTAATCTCCATTTCAGATTTTTTAGGATCTTAGGAGCTAGTTTAAGTATGTCAAGTATACTTATAAAGTCAAAAATACACTTTTGAAGTGTTAATTTCTCATTTGGAATACCACCAAAATTTTAATTTCAGCAGGACCTTGATATATCACTCTAATTACTTGGTTTGGTTTAATGAGTAATCTCAACCCAAGAAATGAAAATAAACACTAATATGTGTGCTCAGAGCCTAAAAAAAGAATCAGATATCCAGTTAATGCAAAGTGTTTCAGTTTTGAGAAAGTTCTTTCTTTCTCATTCTCCCTTGCATTCTTCTTTTCCTTGTTTCTTTCTTTTATCTTTCTGTCAGGGAAAGTTTTCTAATACTTGCTTTGTACTAAAGTATATATAAGAATTTTTGTAAAATAACAGGAAGAATAAGGATGTAAATAAATTAGTCAATATTAAAGACATTGTACTGCAGAATTTTGTAGTGCCTCCTCAAGAACATTGAATATCAAGTAGATACACATGGTAGCCCATAAAAAAGCACCTTATCGAAGTAATTGTTCTTGAGTGCTGGTGGACAAAAAAAGATTGCATTTCTTTTAAAGATTATGGACGCTTAGCTGTGGCTTTGACTAAGCAAAATAAGTTATGTTTTTCCACCTTTCAGACTCATCAAAGCTAAGCTCACAAAGCTTGAGTGTTTTCAAAAGTACCTTCAAACAAATTCTTTATTCTCTATATCTCAAATTACTCGTAACTTCACGAATTGGAATTACTACTCTAACTCTTCCCTTAAAAGTTGTACATTTTAAATTGTCCTAAGTGATTCATAGCATTTTAGTCAAGGCAAATCTGGCTCCAAATGGATAAACGTGTCTACAATGTTTAAAACTAGGAAAGATCTGAGTATACTACAACTTCTCCATTTCCTTTGTGATGGAGAGAGGGTACAATTGCATGTCCTGAACTAGCAACTGCACACTTTATTCTGTAGTTTAGTTACAGGACCAGGGCTTCTACACATCTTGTTTGCCATGGCAAGATTTTTTTTAAAAACATATAATCCCTGAAAAGACCTTGTGAGTTAAATGCTGAGTTGAAGCAGAAACAGTCTTTAGGAATGGGTAAATGGGTATGGGAACTCGGGCACTGTACATTTAAGGTAATGAACAACTTGTTTAAAACTACTATCATTTCTAACTACCTTACAAGGTATTTTGTGTGTCATGTGCCATTGTGTCATCAGAGTTTGGGCCACTTGCCAAAGCTGTTTCCTCATCAAGCCACAAAAGAAAAAAGGGAATACTTTCCATAAAATAATTTCCATAAAAAGTCACTGTCAACATTTGATTCTACTCTGTATTTCAATTTTGAATTTTTCTCTTTAACTCTATAGCTTTTATTTAAATCACCAAGGCTGTTGTATCTTTTCTTGTTCTTATGTTGTCAGTTATCTAAATAACAATGGATCACTACCTGCCTTGGACAGCTAAATAACACTGTAACAAAACAAAATTTGTCAAAAACAATTGTTTTCACTGGATTTCATAATGGGAATTTAAATATTTACTTTGTTGAAAGATATGCCCAATTACTAAGTTATTATAATTTTAAGTAAAAAGCACAGATTTGTTTTCTTGGAATACCGGGATTTGAACTCAGTACCTTGTACATTCCAGGCATGTGCTCTACCACTGAGCTACATCCCCTGCACATATTTGTAAGGTGTTTAAAGAAGTGATTTGACTTTAAAGTTTCATTGGAGTTCTCAGGTAGAAGTTATATAATTGATTTTTTAAGATGAAATTTCCCTTGAAAATAATGACAGTACCTAATAATAATGTGCATTGAACCAATAATATACATTCCTTAACTCTTTGTATTCTCTTTATGTGATTTTTTTTCCTAAAATCTGATCAGCAACAATAGCATTTCTTGAAATAAATTTTTGTTTCAGTTTTTCTGCTTTTCTTTTTTTTTTTCCTCAGACAATGGATTCATACCTGATTCACTTCTGGAAGATGTAATGAAAGCTTTGGACCTTGTTTCAGATCCTGAATAGTAAGCTAAAGAGACGGATTCCATTAAATCTAGGACATTAGCTACATTTATGTACCTTTTAAAAAATATTCACAAAATAATAGCAATTTATGTAAAGCGAAGATTTAGAAGTGCTAAAAATGTCTTTTTCTATAAATTTTAAATATAATTTTTCTCTCTGGAAAGACTTTTCCATTTTTTAATATTTTATGTATTTCTTTTGCAGCTTCAGTAAAAATAACGATAGTTCTGGGTAATGTAAATACAGCATTGCTGGTCGTGCTGCTTGAGTAACCAGCGGGCCTCTGACTTTCCATCTTAAAGATGACTAAAGACACCGAGCATTTCCAGATGATTGGATTAACTGCTCTGAGCTCGGGGTCACTGCAGTATATCAAGAATGTAGCTAATTAGTATTATCTTACTGTCTTGGCCTTGTCTTCATTCTCCACTGTAATGTTTTATACCCTGTCAAGTTTATAACTTCTTCCATCAATTTAGGATTTCTTTTTTTTTTTTTTTCTGTTTTGGTAGTACTAGAGATTGAAGCCTGGGTCTTCACACTGAGCTACATCCCAGTCCTTTTTGTTTGAGACAGGGTCTTGCTAAGTTGCCCAGATGGACTTGACTTTAGTCTTCCTGCCTCAGGCTGCCAGTGTGATGGGATTACAGGTGTACACCACTGCAGCTAGACAATTTAGTATATTCATTACCCATCAGATATTACCTTGTTAGAGAGGGTACAGGAATTGATTGAAAATAAAAATAAAGAGTCTATACTAACTTAGGATCTGTACTAACATCCATTTTTTTCTGCACAATTTGTATGTTTTGCAAGTTTTTTCTGACAGCAAACAAACTTTAGCTTATAAACAGTGAGTTCAGCAAAAGCACCATGAAACACGAGTTTTTAGAATTTGGTCCTGTTTGGTTTTTAAACAAGTTCAGGTATGTGTTTTTGGATTCTCGGTAGTTGGACATAAATGTCATTTTCAGCTGAAAAAGAAAAAAGAAACAACTGGATGAGCCCAATAAATGGTGAAATAGTAATTACTAATTTCTTCTAATCAGATTTGCAAGTAGAGCCCATCTCGTTTGCTGTTATCCACAAGAGAATCAAATTCATAATTTCGGTGATTCTTTGATTCTTTTGGTGATTCTTAAGATGTGGATAATGACAAAGAAAAAGGGGGTTTTTTTCTTTTCTTTTTTAATTTTTTGCTAGGGGGTTTGATGTTTTTCAAATTTTTATCTAGATAGCTCATTGTCCTTGTTTTGTCAGAATACATAAGATTCTTGAAGCATAGTACAATTGACTCATTCATATCATATTTTGAGAAGTAGCTGAAAGAGTGCACTGAGTTATTTACTCATACTTTGGCCTACTACCTTTTCTAATGTGATAGCCTATAAACCAGCTCATTTGAAAGATTAAATAAGCTAAATAGAGTAAATATAATGTGACTTTGCCTTCATTTGCTCTGTATAATCCCTGGGCCGGGCCTAGAGCACACCCAAAGTTCTGTGTCTCCTCCTTTGCATACCATGCTAACCAAGAGCAGCAGGTCCTGGTTGTAGGACTGATGTGCTCCCACTGCAGCATCTCACAGTGCTGACACTGTGTCACGTGGCAGGACGAAGCTGCCTTGCGGGGCAGTAGCAGGAGGCAAATGCAACCTTCTGAAAGCTTCAAACAAAGCTTACATTACAAGGAAGCCTTAGCCTCCTTTAATGAAAGGAATACCTGGTGGCGACCCGACTGAATACAGGCCAAGAAAAGGACAAGGAACCCCCCCCCCCAAACTCTAAGAACGTTCTCCAGACAGAGACCTTCCTGGCAGGTGGTACTGTGACCCAACTGTGCCTGGCTCTGCCACCTGCCTGCTCCTCCCACCCCCTCTTGAGACCCTGAGCCATGGAAGGAGTCTAGACTGGCCTTTGACTGGAATTGAAGTGAAGGGAGGAAGTTGGTTAACCAAGACCTCCTGACCCCTCCGAGTCAGTGCTTTGTTTGCTGCATAATAAGCTAAATTTCACTGGGCATTTCTAGTTGGAAATAACATGGAGAACCGCCCCCCCTGCCATTTGTAAAACCCTTTCAACCACAGTCTGTTTTACTCAGCCCCCTTTCTAGATGGCCTTAACAACACTGCTCACAGCTTGACGCCCTTCCGCGGACAGGCTGTCCAGAGCTCTGGCTGCGTCAGGCTGAGCAGGCAGGTGGAGCTCCTGCCACTGGTGCAGACCACCAGACTACAGCTCTAGGAGAACTGTCTTGCTCGTTAGCCTTCCTGTTAGGCTGCCCATGAATTGTAAGCCTCCGTCCCATTTAGTTCTTGAAGTAAGCTTTTTAAGATATTGTCCGATTCACCACTCACTGCCTGCTGACATGTTTCTTTTTCTCCTTGGACTTTAAAATAAACTTTTCAAGTTAAATGTTTCATTTGGTTGGTCAGTTCTGGCATACCTATGATGACGCTAAGGGGATTTGCCTTTGGAAGGTTACAAGCCTGGGTTTATAAGCTGTGGTTTTTAAATTACTTTACCTAATAAGGAGCAATATTCCAAAGTCATCATCATAATTTTAATTTTAAATAGTAACAGATTACACTAGTTTAAAAATAACCAAGTTTTGGCAAATTTAATGTCATTCCTATGTATTTGTCATTAAGTTTCTAAAAAGAACAACTCTTAGGGATTTTGGCAGCAAATGTGTTATACTACCAGTAATTTAATCATGAAAGAGAAAGAAAAGCTTCTTTTTTTCTCTTTGGTATCTACTGTTTTTCTTTTTTTCTTCCCGTAGTATAAACCTCATGAAGAATAAATTAGATCCAGAAGGATTAGGAATCATATTATTGGGTCCATTTCTTCAAGAATTTTTTCCTGATCAGGTAACAGAATTAATATGTATTGCTTGTTCGTTGAGATGTTCAACTGCCTTTACGATGTCCTAACATGCAAATATGAGTTTGAAAAGCCACTGTTACCTAACTCCCTTCCATGCAGAGAGGCCAGAAGGGTGAGTGTGCCAGCACGGGGACACAGGGGTGCAGAGGGACAGCAGGGAATGGTCATAGGCCAACACTTGCAAATGGTACTATTTTTCTAAAACAAGAATAAAATTCAGAGGTATGTGGAATAAAAAGATTCTCCACTACCTCTCACCCCACACTCATTCTCCCAGGCAGCTCTTGTTATATTTTTTTAGAACTTTTTAAATACAGAAAAAAAAGGTAAAGATAGTCGGGTAAAGTAGTAGGTAGTGGAACTCCTACTAGTGAACCTAATTTCCAGCAGAATTTCACCTGAGTAGAAGAAAACCTTTTTGTTTGAGTAGAACTCTGCTACTGGGACATGTTTTCTATATGCCTTTGATAGCTCAGTTATTAAGAAGCTATACTTGTCTCAGATCCCTTGAGCTATATCTGTTACTGCCAAGCCATGTCTATCCTACCCTTCCCTTTTCTTCATTTCTTACCTAAATGAAGTACATTACCATTGAGCTGAATTGTTTAGGTACTTATATTGTAGTCATTTCATCAGATAAAAGTATAGTGTAAGTTCATTGTTCCAATAAAAATGCCTACTTCCAATAGAAATGTTCCAATAGAAATGTTCTACTTCTTTTTTAAAAGAAATATACTGATAAGTAGAAAAATGGTAAAAAACGACAGCAAGGAAAACATCAAGATATAGTTATTGAATTTCATGATGTAATTATTAATGTAGTGTCTCAGATTTAAATTACCTTTGGCAGAATACACAGTATTATTGGTGTTCAATCTTTATAATTAAAAAGGAACCCATAGTTTCTAAGCTTGTATCTAATTGTTATGGTCTTTGTGAATAAAGATAAAATTCAGAAAGTACCTGGTTATCACAGTATAGGCAGTTGGACTTTTTCAAACTTTGGTAGATGCTTCATAAAAATAGATTCATTTCGGGGCTGGGGATTTCGCTCAGTGGTTCTGGTGCCTGCCCCCCAAGCACAAGGTCCTGAGTTCGATCCCTGGTACCAAA